CGCTCTATGGGCTTATTAACAGAGTCAAGCTGAAGAGCCTCCGGGGCACGTGGGCCCCGTGTGCGAGGCTCTCAGGGCCGACCCAGGGTGGGGCGTGGGGCACCGACTGTGCGGCCCCGGGGGAGCAGAGCCAGGCTTTCCAACAGGCCCCGGATGGAACACGGGGCACAGGAGGGAGGGGTCACTGGTGTGTGCGAGCGGAGGCTGGGCAGACCCTGGCTGGGGGGCCGACGAGGGGATTCCGGCAGAGGAGGGAGGACCCGGACTCCGTGCTTTCTGGCCCAGAGAGTGGAGAGCGCAGTGACAGGCCGCGAACGTCCTGGGCGCTTCTGTGGTGTCCTCCGAGCAAAGGGCGTCCTGTCCCCCTCTTTCCCTTTGCAGGACCCCCGCAGCTCCACGGCCGCAGCAGGAGACGCCCTCTCACCGCCCCCACCCACCGAGCCCAGGGGCGATTGGGCAACGGCCCCCCACCACCCGTGCCCACTGAGGCCCTGGACACACCCCCCGCCGCCACGACCGTACCTTTCAGGGTGACGGAGAGGCTGATGTCGAACGAGTAGGGCTGGTCGTGGCGGAGATACGGCAGGGGCCTGGGGTCCTGTGAGGGCAGAGCACCAGCACAGGGGTGGCTGGCAGATGGCGCTGGCCCGGGGGGCCCCCAGCGCACCAGCACCTGCTCCCCCACCCCCCACAGGGGCCCCCAGCCCCAGGCAGAAGGAGCTCCCCGCACAGTAGGGACCAGGTGGTCACCTGCGCCAGGTTGGGGAGACGCCGGGGGAGGAGCATCCGCAGCTCAAGGGCACAGGGGTCAGATCAGAGATGCCCCAAAAAAGCCAGGGAGCAGGGACGCGCAGCCCCGTCGGTGCAGGCCCCGTGGAGGCAGCTCCACGGCCAGGCCACGGAGTCCACGTGGCAGCCCACGGCAGTGGGCAACACACGAGAAAGATGCGGTGATTGTAACGCTTCCGTGTTTCTTTTTAGGATTAACTTGGTGGCTGGTGACACCAATGGGGATATGAAGTAAAAACAAACTAACAAACAAAAAACCTTCCTTTTCTAAATACATTATTTGAGTTTAAAAACGGGAGCTGCTTTAAAGGAAAACATCAAATAAGTAACAGGCGGAGGCAGCAAGCATTGTGAAGACCCCACAGGGCAGGTGTTTGGGAAGGTCTGGCTCCCGGGAAGGCAGACAGACAGGAGGTCTCCCATGACAGGGCGGTGTGGAGGGGCGGGAGGGGTGCAACCTGGCCCGCAAGGAAGAATGAGGGTGCCTCTTCGAGAGGCATCGGCTCGCAGGGAAAGACTCCAAGCGTGCTTTGAGCAGAGCAGACATGAGCGTGGGGGGGCAGCGTGGATGCAGGCGCCCCAGGAGGGTGTTGGGTGGACGGCAAAGGGCTGAGAGCATCGCAGGCCTCGGGGAGACCCAGGAGGCAGGGGCATGGAGCGCCGGGGAAGAGCAGAGGGCTGCCACGGGCCCACGCTGGAGAGGTCACAAGGCCAGAGCCCCTGGAAAGGGGGCTGGGACCAGGACCCCCTGTTGCCTGGCTCCAGGCTGCATTCTACCAGTTGGGCTCCAGGGGGCGCCCCCGCACAGAACAGAACTTGGCGAAGTTGTGCAAGGTGGTGGCATTGGCCAGGACCCCTTCTCTTCCTGCCAACCGGCCTCAGAGGATTCCAAAGGGTACAGAATTCTGCGTTTTCCCCCAAGAGATGGGCAGGGAGCAGGGAAAGCACAGGCAGAATGATTGGTGCCAGGCCTGCCTGAGGCCAAAGCACACGGGCAGGCGGGGGGCACGGAGCTTCCCTGCAGATGCAGACAGCGTGGATGGCCGGTGGCAAGCGGCCGCAGAAGCACAGGGCCCGGGTGCAGCTTCCCGCCGAGGGAATGCTTACCTGCTCTGGGTTGGGCACGGCAAAGGGCATGAGGGCCTCCATGGGCACCACCCACGGAGAGATGGTGGTTCCAAAACTCTTGCCAAGGAACGGCCCAAGAGGAACATACTCCCACTTCTGAATGTCCCGAGCTGCAAGAGAAGGGCCGAGCAGGGTTTACAAAGGCTGCCCAGGGCCTCGCCCCAAGGCTCCGTCCTCCCCTCCACCGAGGAGCACCGCCGTCCTGCATGGAGCCCTGACCCCGGCCAGGCTGCCCGGAACCATGGGGACCACGGGGACCACGGGCAACAGCATTCAGGGCCAAGGACAGAGGTCCTTTGAGGTCACTGTGCCAGGTTACAGCAAAGAGAAGGATGACCAAAGGGCAGGCAGGCATTCCCCCAGGAAGGGGCTGGAAGCTCATCCTCCCCCTGGCGGGGGGGAGGGCAGACACTTCCCGGCACTCAGACATGAGGCGTAGGGGTCGGGAGCCGCTGGGACACTGAGCTGCTTTAGTTTGAAATCTCAGCTCAGCAATAACTGCAATCTCTCTGTGCCTCAGTTCCTCACCTGTGAAAGGGGGATACTAAGGTTACCAGACCTTGTGGGTGTTCGGCACAGAGGTGCTCACAAACGTCAGCTGTGATGTCTGCCTTGTCCCTGGTTGACTTACAGGAACACAGGAGATCAGAACGGGGAGGTAACTGGCCCAGGACTCAGAGCTGAGAAGTCTGCGTGACACCCGAGCCGCGCTCCCCACCTCCGGCCAGCACCAGACCCCGAAACCATCCACGGCTTCTGAGACAGGGTCCCCAACACCCAGTCTTCAGCGAGAGCAGGGGGCTCCGTGAGCCCGACCTCAGCACGCCCACACCCCAATAATTACCGCTCCAGTCGTTCATAAGAACCATTCCAAAAATGTGCTCGTGGGCCCTGGAAATGGGGATCGGCTCTCCAAAGTTGTTCCCAGGGCCTACAAAGAAAGCCTGACGTGGGGGAAAGTTGATTAGAGTCGGGGCACTGGGCTGGAGGGCAGAGGTCGGGCATTTCCAAACCCGGGCCAGGGACCAGGACTGCCACCGGGGACCTGGCCAGGCTACGAATCCAATTCTAAGTCATGAATGCACTCGAGCGGGCAGCGGGTCACCTCGGGAGAGCGGGGAGAGGCAGGATGCTGGTGGCACCCACGGCCTCCGGACCACTCCAACCCCGTGGCAGCCCCACTCCCTCCCTCAGCAAGCCCCAGGCCACTCTGCTCCTTCCCTGCACCCCCGCACACACCCCACACGCTGCATTTCAGGATCTGACAGCTACACCAGGCTTATGGGAGCCAGAAATATCTGGGTATGTACTTGTGTCATTAAATCAGAAGCCTGCCTGGATCCATAATGCAGCCAGGAGGCCCAGAGGGGGCATCTCCCGCACCCCCACCCGGAACCCTCCCCCTCTGCGGGGAGACGTCACCAACATGGTGCTCGGGAACCAGCAGAATCCCGAAACATCCTCGCAGGAAGAAACGGGGAAAATAACTGTCAGGCACACACACAATCAGCCACGACATTTGCAAAACCTGTCACAGTTTGATTTGTTCTGTGACAGTGTTTAAACACTGCAAATCTTTTAATCAAAATAAAAAAAAAAACCCCACGGGCACCAATCTCTATAGAATCTTACCACATCAAGGGCAGATCATCTGCGCTCCCCACCCTGCACCGTCTCTCTGCACACTGATTTTCTGCCTCTACTCGGCTTGTTGTCCACCCCCAACAGGACAATCGGCCTGCAGACGGCCCTGCTCCAGGGCCTCTGGGCTGGCAGACCTCCTCTTGGGGTCTGTGTGGCACCCTCACTGCAGGAAACAGAGGGCTGGCTGGGAAGGCCCTGTTATTTGGAAGTGCCCACACGTTCTTGCCTCTGGATGGAACCCCAAGAATCATAGGGCAGGACTGGAGGGACAGGGAGCTCCAGCCTGCCTCCAACCAGCCCTGGCTTCCCAGTGTCATGGCCCTACCAGGTGGCCGACAACCCCTTCTCCTCCACCTGCCACATGGAGAGACACTCAGAGCTCCCCGGGACATCACCCAAACCCACGGGTGCTGATGGTGGGAAGCCCCCCACCACCTGCCTGTCTGCACTTCCCCCCACCGGGCCTGGCTCCGCTGCCCACCCTCTGACCACCCAGCGATCTGCACCAGAGTCCTCCATCCAGTTCAGCTCCTCCCCCTCTCAATGTCTTCGTCCCCCTGCCTCAGGGACTTCCCAGAGTTCAGTGTCCCTGGTAAAATGCACAGCCCTGCAGCGTGAGGGGTCCTCAGGGATGAATGGCAGCGTCCTGGGGGTGAAGCGATGGTAGGTACCGCCGTGCAGGACGCTACCCCTGGGGCAGAGTGTGGGTGGGGTGTGTTTGGGATCTCTCCATGTTCTTTCTTTTTTTTTTTTTTAAAGATTTCATTTATTTATTTGAGAGAATGAGAGAGAGAGAGCGCACATGAGAGGGGGGAGGGTCAGAGGGAGAAGCAGACTCCCTGCCGAGAGGGAGCCCGATGTGGGACTCGATCCCAGGACCCTGGGATCATGACCTGAGCCGAAGGCAGTCGCTTAACCAACTGAGCCACCCAGGCGCCCTCTCCATGTGTTTTATACCTAGCTCTTTA